CCGATTACAACACGGATTTCACAATTACTATTGTAATAATAAAAAAACCCTCCAGACTCCATAGTGGTATCGATAAGCCCAAACGTTATTGATTTTCGGGTTTTGAAAAAAGTGGAACCGGGTCCCTAATAGAACCCGGTTTCGATCCCCATCCCTAGATAAGCCATGGAAACTAGCCAAGCAAGAGGGTTCTGGGTTCTAGTCCCCGGGGGAACCAGGACCAGAGGGTTCTGGGTTGGAGTCCCTAGAGGAACCAGGACCAGAGGGTTCTGGGTTGGAGTCCCGGGGGAACCAGGACCTTTCTGGGTGGAGTCTGCATGTTCTCCTGTGTCTGTGGGTTCTCTCCGGGTTCTCCGGCTTCCTCCCACCCTCCAAAAACCTGCATGTTAGGTTGTTGGACTCCAAACTGCCCTTAGTGTGAGTGTGTGTGGTTGTGGGTCCTTGTGTGTCTCTGTGTGTCTCTGTGATGGACTGGGGACCGTCCAGGGTGACCCCGCCTCTCCCCATTGGCTACTGGGATAGGCTCCGCCCCCCCGACCCCATTAGGGGATAAGGGGTTATGAAAATGGATGGATGGAATTAAAAAAAAGCTAATGTGCGTGAGCATTTGAAAGTATTTTTTACCGATATGTCCTCGTGCTCGTCCCCAGAACATCGTCTTGGGTTCTTCTGGCTTCTGTTTGTAAAAATGCGATGGGTTGATGGGCTTTAATTCAATGGGTATCTCACTGGCTATCATTTTTTTAAGCCGTTCTTTGGCACTCTCCTTCAGGTCTGGTTTACTGTAAAAACAATAAAAAAGCAGAAGAAATAAACACCCACTGAGCTCACTAGATGGCGCCAGAGCACACAGATAAACCGGAGACACCTTGGCTGTGAATGGTTTTCCATAAAATGGAAAGTTGCTTTAACCCTGTAATGCCAAATGTATCATATTTGATACATAAGGTTTCTGAAATGTTTTGCGTCTGACTCCTTTTGCATAATTTAATGGTAAAAACTTTGCTCAAAATCCTATTGAACACAATCAGATACACCTGATAACAGGGGGCAGAAGACTACACAAAACATAATGTTATCGCATAGTGATAAATTATTAATATTAAAATTGTATTTCTGTTTTTTCTTTTTACATATTTTGTTAAAATGCCAAAAAAAGACTTAAAACAAAAAAAAGTAATTTTCTGTTTTGTTTTATTCTTGGATCAGGCTTTAAAGGGTTATTGTCTTCCTTTTTGGATGTAGTTTAATTGTTTTTAAAAGTATAGTGGCGGAAAAGTGACTGCTCACTCAAATATAATGTAATCTGGTTGTCTTTGGATCCATATTTAGCATCTGTTATTGGTTCAAACATCATCTTATTTTGAAATGTTAAGCTCATTCACCGATATAATGAACGACCCCTCGACTTTTCGTACAACCGGCATTCAACAAGCACTAAAAAAATCCCATTAACCTACATTTAAATCAGGGGTCGGGAACCTATGGCTCTTTTGACGATTGCATCTGGCTCGCAGATAAAACAAAATATTTTCACTTGTATACAAATACAAGCTACAAATATCCATCCATCGATTTTTCACTGCTCATGTCCTGTGCAGGAGCCATTGTCCATTATTTTAATTGGATGATACTGCAGCGTAAAACAGGTAAACGCCCCCTTTTGAATCAGTCTGCTCGCTCATTAGCTCAAAGCTAACCCTTCGACGAAGAAGATGGCGAAAAAAGAAAAAAAGATGACGAGTATCGTACATTTCAGGACGAATGGACTGAAGAATTCGCCTTTGTGGAGAGAGCAAATTCTGCGGTGTGTCTAGTTTGCAATGACAAAATTGCATCGATGAAACGGTCGAATGTAAAGCGGCACTTCGACACGAGTATTATAACAACATTATTCAAAAGAATAAATTCAGAGGCTTATTATACTGACATTTAGTTGGATTCACTTTTAAAATATATTATATGACTCTCACTGAAATAAATTTCCAAATTTTTTGCTTTCCTGGCTCTCTGTGGAGGTTCCTCCACAATTAACCCAGTGTTAGTATTTATTTAAATGTTTCATGCCATACATTTATAATTTCATTTGTTTGTGTATCTATTGTTTTAGGTTGTTTACTATTATGGGTGCACACATTTAGTAAACGCCTTTGTTCGGTCATTATTAATTATTTGTTTGCTGAGTTGAAGGGCTGATGGAGAGATGAACCAGGAAGTGGAACAAACCATCAGGCTGCTGGAAGCAGGGGACCTGATGTTAAAAGAACTTTCCTCTTTCTAGTTATAGCATAAGTCCTTAAATATTTTGATGTTAGGTTTGACTTGTGTTTGTTATGGTGTTGTAGTGAAAATATGTTGGTTTAAATGAATTGTTTATGTTTATACACGGTTTGTCTTTGCCTCATCTCCCACCCCTTCTTGTGTGTGTAGGCTAGCCTTTGTGTTTAAATTCCCCTTTGTGTTCATTGTGGGAAGTCAGTTGTTTTGTTATCCTGAGTTAGGTATGCTTTAGTTTTCTTTTGGGCCCATTTTTGTCATATTTTGGAATTTGATGTTCTCTTTTTTGGGAAGAATAATAGAAAAATAAATAGAATTGATTCTTTTATGCCTTTGTCCCTGTGGTTTACTGGACGGACCGTAACACTCTCTTAGTCAAAAAGGTTCCCGAACCCTGATTTAAAGGTATGGAGGCACAATTCCAAATATCTATAAACCCACCCGAGGTAGTCCTGGATGAGCTCCTCCACGGAGAGCAGCTCCTCGGGCTTTGGCACGGCCGGCATGGTGAACTGGTGCTGGATGGGGCTGGTCTGAGGAACGTGGAAGGAGGCCTGGAAGGTCATTATGGGATGGCCGTGCTGCAGGGCCTTCACCGAACGCACCATAAAGCTCTGGCCGTCCCGGGTCCGCTCCACCTGGTACACCACCGGGGCCTTAGGGTCCCCTGGAAGTAGGGATGGGGATCGTTAATGTTTACTGATATTAGGGTTGTCACGATACTAAAA